TTCAGCGTATATATGAGTTAGAAAATTTACATCTGATAGGACATACTCGTAATAAGCAGACTTCATAAACAATTCCTGGATTTCGGGTGGGGGGGGGGCTGAAGCCCCCTCAGCCACCCCCATAAATACGCCACGACGTGATATTATTTATTGTAAATTATTATCGATATTCGATAGGTCATATTATTATTGAACCGATAGACAGCAGCCGTGATGGTGTTTGGCGTATATACACATTCGTAAAACATTCGTCTCTGCAAGACGTGTAWAGGGCAGTTCGCCACATAATGCGCGTATGGAGCAAAAGCCACCTCTTGCGGGGTAGGCCAACGGGGGGATTGCAACCCTGGAAATTAATTAAATATATGATTTGATACCATCATACATGAGAATGACATATAATATATCATATTATAATAATATTTTATTGTTCATAAAATCGGCTAACACTTTTGGAAACTCTCTGATAAGGTTTAAGAAAAGAGCTATCGTGTCGTGACTTGGCTCAATAATAATAATAGTAATAAAAATAATAATAATAATAATAATATGATACAATAGTATATAATACATTGTTTAATCATATGGTCATTCGAGTCTGAGTGTTACTACAGCGTAACTTCTGTTTTCACGTTTTGTACCTATTCATACAAAAATGTGAGAATCAGAGAATCAACTAGTTAAAAAGTTATTTTTTTTTTTTTTAACTTAACTATAGTTAGTAGGTTTTCTCATTTATTTATGAACTTAACTTATCAATTGATTTAATGATTTTTCACAAAGATATAAACATTAATGATCTAAAATACTATATAACCTAATATAACACAAACATCTGTGTTCTTTTTCTCGATGAAATAATTTTGTATATTAATGTATTTCATTAGATTATAGATAGACACGGTTATTCTTTATGTGCTTTACTACATACTAATTTAAAAAAAAAAAACAGAATTATTTTTCTTTTAAATTGAGTTGAGTTAGTAATTTCTTTCCATACTAACTATTAACTTAATGAGTTAAGTTTATAATTTGTTAGCTATTAACTTTTAACCTAACGATCACGTCGTGTCCTCTTGGCATAACTCGAGTTAATTATTTTTATTAACTTGCCCACTTTTGGGTATTCGTATACAAATATTTTTTCCCGCACATAATATGCTATTGTTGTAACGACCATAAAAGATCAATCCGATAAATGT